AGCATTGCTATTCCCATTGCTATGGGCTGTCCTGCTCATGCAGGCTGGGGTGTGCTGCTGTGATAATAGTTGGCCTAGTGATCTCCCATCACCCATGTGAGTTGCCAGTGTGCTTGAGCAAGGGTCATTACAGATTCATAGAATCATAGAATCATTTGAGTTGCAAGGGACCTCTTAAGGTCAGCTGGTACAACTCCCCGGCAGTGAACAGGGACACCTGCAGCTAAGAAAGGTTGCACAGAGCCCCATCCAGCCTGACCTTGAATATCTCTTGAGACAGGGCATCGATCATACCTCTGAGCATTGAGATTCCTCCCAGTTTCTTGAGGCTTTCATTGTTTCTGGTTTAGTAAACAAATTTTCCCTGCCGCATCAGAGAACGAGCAGCCTTGAGGTAAGAAGTCAGCCTCCCCTTGTGATTCAGGGGAAACTCGAGCATGTAAAGGATCTTTAGATATGTATCTGTGATGGTTTCACACTGATGGGCAGCTAAGCTCTACAACATCACTCTCTCACTGCCCCTTGTCAAAAGAATAGCAGGAGAAAGTAAGATGAAAAAAGCTCATAGGTTGAGATAAGGACAGGGACATCACTCACCAATTACCATCATGAACAAAACAGATTCAGCATAAGGGAGATTAATGTAATTTGTTGCCTATTACTGCCTAGACCAAAGCAGAGAGAAACTAGAAGTGAACTAAAAACACCCTCCCATCATCTTCTACCTCCTCCCCATGAGCAGCAGAGGGAATATGGTCAATCCATAATGAACCATTTCAGACACTTCTTGATAGCTCTCTGCTCCTGTTCCAGCATGAGGTCCCTCCAGTAGGATGACATCCTTCCTAAAATGATCCTATATGGGCTTTCCATAGGTTGCAGTTCCTCAAGAAATGTTCCAACATGGGTCCTTACCACAGGGGTGGACTGCTCCACCATGGGCTTTTCTCCATGAGCTGCAACTCCAGAATCAGCTCCTGGAATACAGCGTCCAGACCTGAAGCCCCAACATGGGAAAGACGAGAAGCTTTTGGAGAGGGTCCAGAGGAGGGTCATGAAGATAATCAGAGTGCTGGAACACCTCTCTTACAAAGACAGGCTGAGGAAGATGGGATTATTCATGGAAGGGACGGTTCCATGCACACATCTACCTGCTCCACCATGGGCTGTATGAGGAGATCCGTTCTGCATGGTGCCCCATGGGATGTAATGGGACAGCCTGCTCCACCATGGGCTTCTTCACAGGCTCTGACCTCCTTCAAGCCACATCCACCATCATGGGCTACTCCTCTTCACAGGCTACAGCTCCAGCCCAGGGCCTGTGGGGGATTTCCATGAGCTGCAGCATCCTGCAGACCACATCCTCCTTCTCCACCACGGGCTCCTCCACCAGCTGATCTTTACATGCTACCCCACGGGCTGAGGGGAACATCCTGCTCCACCACAGGCCTCTCCTAGCTTATGGTCTCCTTCAGGCTTCATCCACCCTGTGGGCTGCTCTCAAGGAGTTCTTTTCCCAGTCTGTATATGCAGCTGGGATTGCTTTGACTCAAATGCAACAACTTGCACTTGGCCTTGTTGAACCTCTGTAGGTTTACATGGGCTTACCTTTCCTCTTTGACAAGGTCCCTCTGAATAGTGTCCCTTCCTTCTGTTGTGTCAACTACACCCACTCAGCTTGATGTCATCAGCAAATATGCTGAGGATGCACTCAATCCCATCATCTGTGTCACTGATAAAGATGTTGAAGAGAATGGATCTCAAGGCAGACCCTTGAGACCCCACAATGGCTTTTATGGTCCTTTCCTGATCCAGAGGCCATCAGCTTAGGAGTGCCCATAGGAACTGCATTGTTGAGAGGATTCTTCCCCTGCAATACCTCACATTTTAGCTTTAGTGTGAAAGCTGTCAGCCACAAGGGCAAAGGAAGGCAGTACAGAGGCAGTCTTACAAATGCTGGCAGTGAAAATTCAAGGAGCTGTGGGATTTGGTGACAGCTTCACAGTGGTTTTGAAGGCATTAGAAGTATGTAAATGGCAAAGAGACCCTAAGTACCACTGAGGATCTGGGCTCAAATAGAAAGTAAATAAAGACTCAGCAGGAATGTTGTCATCTCCCTGCTAGGATGGTTTAATGTACACATTTATAATTTCTTTAGATAGCATAATGATGGCTTCACAAGAAACACTTCTGTATAAATAAATCATCTGTCCATCGCAGAGTTCTGATGAAAGGAGATTGTATGTCTTCTTCCTGTTCTAGCAGCCAGGTTTGATTACTGATACATGCTTTTTCATTTTTTTCCTTTTTTTTTTTTTTTTTTTTTCTACCACTTCCACATTATCTTGGTTTGCAGTCTTAATAGGAAAGTACTGCGCAGCTGTATGATAAGGTAAACTGAGGGAGATGGGACACTTTGGTGTGACATTGGGTGACAGCCTTTGAACTGAGTACACTGAAATCACAGCTTGTGAGTTTGTCATGGTTGGAGAGAAAAGAAAGTCTACAGCACCTGATGTTCAAATCATTGCACCCTGTTCTTTCCTTTAGGGACCACTGTGTGCTGCTCTTTGTTGTTCACATAAATCATAGGAATTTCATCTTGCTAGGAGAATCTCTCAGCAGGACTGCAAAAGGGACTCGGGAGCTTTCAGACCTTTGTGAGTCACAGACCCAGGAGAGCATCGCTACCAAGTAAAAGGGAGACATGAGAAAATTGGAGAAGCTGACTGTATGTGTTCCCTTGTTTCTGTTTTAGGAAGCTCCCATTCCTGCACCCACTATCCCACTGCCATTAGATGAAGGAGCATTTCAACTGGTTGCAAGAACCAAATTGGAAAATGGAGCACAGTGCTACTGCTTTCCTCCACCAGCCTTATTTATTTTTGTTGTGATGTAATCCCCTTCACTTTTCATTTCTTCCAGCAGGAGAGTGCCTATGCAATATTCATAAGGAACTGGGCTCTCCTCCATGGACTCTTCTTAGGCACCATAAATCAGTGCATTTCACTGCATTGCAGACTTACTTTTCTTTTTGCTTCCCAAAGGTCTATGAAATGTGTTGTTGCACGTGAACATAGTTTCCTTTGGGTGCCAAGGCACACCTTATGTTTTAGTTGTAAGACTCTAGGGTTCTCAGTAATGTGCATTGGCCTTGAGGATCCTGTTACAACACTCTCATGAATTCTACAATTCCCTGACACTTCTTGTCAGAAGTGTATGCAGAATAGGTCTGATTCTGTCTATCTGCTGATGCTTGGGACTGTTTGAATTTGTTAGGATTGGCAAAAGCCTAGAAATTTCTATTCATCCTGCTCACCAACTGCTACTGGAGGTAGTTCTGTAGGACAGCTTCTCATGGGGTTTCCAGTTGGCTCTTTTCCTCACACACAGCTGTTGAGGCCCAACTGGGGTTGGGGGTTAGGCAATTTATGAAATGAAATGAAGCTCAGACCACTCATTATTGAAGTACTGGGACTGGGCAATAATTAGAGCAAGGGGCTGAATTAGAATGGAATTTTTGGCTTTTCCTGAGCCCAGAAGACAAGAAGATCTGTCTCCAAGAAGAATAATGTTGTGAATGCTGGAAGCTGCTGTACAATTTATGAGGTTTGCATTAGACTTTCTGTTGAAACTGAGTCTAGATCTGGAAGCAATCAAGCTGGAAGGCTATGCACAGAGGTGGGAGAAAGACCTCTGGCTTCTGTGTCTTTCTTGACTGAGGGTTACATCAGCTCATTTCTCTGCAAAACCAGGATAATAAGTGAGAATAACATATTGCAGTCAATGAGGATGGGACTGTGGGGCATGAAATCAGACTGAAACCACACTGGAGCTTTCTGGTGTGGAGGGCTTTCCTCCCAGTGCTCCTGCATTCCGTTGTTTTTCACAGGAGACTTCTGCAGCTGCTCGTCTCACTGTCGTACAGAGTATTTTCCCACTTGTATATCTGAAGGATCCTTATCATACAGCACTTCAGCATCAAATTTCTCTGCAGTGGAAGGCAGCCTCCGTCTCAGCAGGTGTCTCGATGCTGTTTACAGGACACCTGTCAGCTCTTTTGGCTCCCTGTCCCCTCTGCCTCCTAATTATAAATTTGTGGATTGCTGCAGCTATGGGCTTTTTTTTCTTCTCTCTTTTTTTTTTTTTTTTGTTCCTTGTGCACAAAATGTCAAATTGCAGAAATTAAAAATGTAAATGATGGTGTCTAATTAACCAGTTGACAGCAGAGCACAGCTGCGAGTGACAGTGACTGATTACCTTCTGCAAACCTTGTCCTCCAAGACCTGCCTTACTCAGGGGATGAAGGACTTAAAAAATAGTAACTTCCTTAAAGAGACATTGCTCTGCTGAGAAAGTCTGATGCATGGGCAATGGTCCTGGAGGCCTCCATGTCCAATGGATAAAGCCCCAATCCTCCTGAACTCGAGGTGGATTTTTCCCAGTCAGAGAGGGATGGAATTCTATTGCTAGAAACGTGATATAACACTAGCAGCATAGCTGTTACTGGGATAGACTTTGAGTGGGGAACATAGATAATCTTAGAAATGTATGCAAATCTAGTAGTATAGATGACACAGAAAAGGATGTAAGGGAAGTTTTTTGTGTGGGAGCAAAAGCCTGAGGTCTCAGAGGGTGAAGAGAACAGTGGGACTTCCCTATGGGACTGGAGGTTTCAGAGCTTTTGAATGCCTGACAAAGGAGTCCAACAGCAGATCTTATTCCTTTGACAACGTGGATAAAGTTAACAAGATGTTCTTTGGGATCTCAGTCTCAGAACAGGGTTGAGTGATTACAGCATTTATCTATTATTCAGGAATAGTGGCTCACTCTAATTTCTGTTTTAGTCTTCTTCACTGCAAAAGAAGGGTATGACAAGACATATCATTGATGCTCTAGAAGAGCCTAAGAGTGTTAAGTTTATTCCATATTGTTGATGGCTTTCAGTTATTGTCTCCATGCTATGTCCCTTCAAGAAACACTGTAATTCTCTCTCCCAGGTACTATTCGGACATTGCCAAAATGCCAGCAATCAGTGACCAGGACATGAATGCATACTTGGCTGAGCAGTCTCGCATGCATATGAATGAGTTCAACACTATGAGTGCACTCTCGGAAATATACTCCTACGTTGGCAAGTACAGTGAGGAGGTAAGAGCCTCAGAAAGGGAGAATTTCTGCAGAGCCATCAGACAATCCACCCGTTCTGATAGCTCAGCATATGGCATGGCTGCCTTTCTTCATCCTGGATGAGGGGATGATGGATTTAGGGAATAAAAAAATCTGGGATCTGGAGAGTTTGTTGGTTTCCCCAGGACTCTTCCATCTGATTCTCCATTATTTTAATTTTCTGATATTGGTCAATCAAAATTAACTGGCTGTAGCTGATAATCAGAGAAGATCTCCATAAACTCTTCATCACACGTGGCCAAAAGTTGTTGAGGCATATATGCCCAATACCATTTACAATACCATAAAGCACCCAAGAATGATCTGTCAAACATGAAACAGATGTTATGGGTATCAAAGACCAGATGAGATACTTTAGAACATCTGAAGTGGCATGGCAAGGTAATGAAGAAATCTGCCAAATAATTCATAGAATCATAGAATCACCAAGGTTGGAAAAGACCTAAAAGATCACCCAGTCCAACCGTTCACCTATTCCCAATAGCTCCTACTAAACCGTGTCCCTCAACACAACATCCAGCCTTTCCTTGAACACCCCCAGGCTCGGTGACTCCACCACCTCCCTGGGCAGTCCATTCCAGTGCCTGACCACCCTTTCTGAAAAGTAATACTTCCTCATGTCCAGCCTGAATCTCCCCTGCCGTAGCTTGAAGCCATTCCCTCTGGTCCTATCACTAATGACACGAGAGAAGAGGCCGACCCCCAGCTCACTACAGCCTCCCTTCAGGAAGTTATAGAGAGCAATGAGGTCTCCCGTGAGCCTCCTCTTCTCCAGGCTGAACATTCCCAGCTCCTTGATCTTCAAGATGCTAATCCATTTGATTTGTTGCAAAGCAGAGGTTTGCATTCAGCCACATCAGCACCAAACTGCCTGCCCAACTCCCTTCTGGCTGACTGACCTGCATTGTATGATCTAAGCTAAGTTTGGGGCTCACTTTTCTCGTAGGGAAAATTAGCCCTCATCTGTTGCTGAAAGGTACTGGACTTAGTTGTTTTGAAAAATAAATATAAAAACAGAGCCATGTCACTTCTTTCTCTCTCTTTTTCCAGATTCTCGGAGCCCTTGATCAAGATGACCAAGCTGGGAAACAGAAACTTGCCTACAAACTTGAACAAGTCATAACCCTCATGAGCATAGACAGCTGAGAACTGTCCTGCCAGGGACACCCTGGGAGGGATAAACCAAGTCGTGCCTCACTCAAGATCATCATCTTTACCAAGTGCAAGTTTTGATTGGCTGTAAGCAGAGTCACCTGAACAGCACTCCTCTCTCTCTCTCATTTCTTTCTCTTTCAAAATCTGTGGACAAAGTGAGAAATCCCCAGGGTTTACAAGAAAAGATTGCAGAGGAATCTTAGCTCTGGGGATATCAAGACATTTAGGTGAAGCTCTCATTTTCACAGCTTCCCCTCTGCCTTTATTCTACAAGAGAAAAAAAAAGAACAATTCCACAGAAACAAAGCAAGACAAAACAAAACCCTCCCCCAGCATCGCATCATCACTCTGCAGATGGGAAATCGAGAGGTCACCTCTGTCATGCTGCTTTAACTGCCCTCCTGGGGATGTAGCCTCCGGAGTGGACATAGAAATGAACTCAGTATTACTAAATGTCTCCCCAACGGGAAGGCAGCTTGCCTGCAGGGATCCTGAAGGGTAGGAGGAAATCAAGATCCTCTCCTGCAGAGCCATTGCAACTCTATCTCTTGATAGGGACCCACTGGGAGAGGAACACCAAGGCTCCCCGCAAAATGCCACAGCTCCGCCAGAGTGGGAACACTGTGGCTCTTATCTGCCTGGGCAAACAGCGGTGTAGTTGCTCTCTTGGGGCAGTAGAAGGGTCAAGAAGGGAGGATGGAGACTAACAGTCTCCTGCCCGTGTGATTCATATGGTTATTCTTATTTTTCAAAGAGACCTGTGTTCCCCTCCGTCTTTCCCATTGTGTCCTGTTGGTCGTAGCACTGCTGCAAAAATGCTCTCTCTTCTCAGTGGCATCCCATTGGTGGTGTTTCTGTTCCTTCTGGCAATGGACAGCACAGCATCTCCTTTGCCCCACCTCAGCTTGGAAAGCAGGAACCACAAGTCTCGCTTTGTTCCAGACAAGGAGCGTGGCCTCAAAAAAACCAACCAGAGGGTGTTTTTTTTTAAAGCTGTTTGTTCTTTTCATTTTTATTTCCACAACTGAAACAAAGCTATTTTTTTTTTTGATGGAATATAAGAAGGATATTAAAGGGCTTGCTGTGAAGCAAGGTAGTGCATAGGACTGATGGTAGAAGCCTTCCTTCAAAGCCACTCTGAAGAGGAAATATCATCATATACTTTGGAAGGAAATCTTGGAAGAAGCCCAAACGAAACACTGCAAAATTTTCTTCCATCTAGATACTCCAAGTCAAACTGCATGTTTTCTGGAGATGCACAAACTATTGTAAGCTCATTTGCCTTTTGGTGCCAACTCCTGGCCCTTGCTCTTTTACATTCTGGAACCAGCAGGCCTTGTTGAAGGCACAATTGCTGACTGTGACGTGTTTGCTCTCTCTTTGCACTTCCTATCCTTTCAGAGATCATTGTCATCACAGGACAAGGATGGGTGATCACCTTGTTCTTTCCTCTGTTCGGCTCCTCCAGAAGATCTACATCTCAATCTATTTCAATGCCAACCAAATAGGAATGAGCTCCTGCATCCCTTCTGCATTTGGCCAGTTTCTCCTGCAGCTGCTGGCCTGTTTAACACTGTGGTTCATTGCAGTGGAAGAACCATTGCTGCAGAGCCTTGAGGGAACTGGAAAACCTTGGATCTGGTATACCACAGAGGCAGAAGCCAGGTCTGTGTTGATCTCGCCTGAATGGTGCTCAATAACAAGTGGAGGATTGGCATCGTGTAATGAAGAATCAGTCCTCATCCATCTTTCACCATCCTCCAAGCTACAGCCTTGGTTTACTTTGCATCTGGGTAGATGAAGGGGTAAAGACAGGGTGTGTAAATTGATTATGGAACAAGTGTATTTGGTTTTGTTCATGCTTCTTGCTAGCAAGCCTGAACCTCTTCAGAGCAATGGCTCATAAGTGTGTGTGAAGGAGGAAGTGGTGCAGGCAGGGGTCAGATAGCAAGCAGATTCCATTCAGCCAAACATACACTCAAGTAAGCAAGTGTTTCTCAAACCATTTAAAGAACAGCAGTCCAAAACTGGGTGCATGTATGGGGGGAGAATATCACAAGATTCATACTGAAACAGCAAACTTAGGGACACGTCTTGGTTTTAAAACCCCAGACATTTCTCTTTATTATAATTATTATTATTTTGTGTGTGTGCGTGTGTGTATCTGTGTGCGTGTGTGCGTTATTTCCTTTTTAATTTTGCTTGCTTTCTGTTTGATCGCTGAGCTGATGGACTCATCATGCACCTTATGGACATCTCAGCATTTTTAAGAGGCCTGCGCAAATGGGGATGATTTGGTTTGGTTGGCTCTGCCATGGTTTTGTTGATCCATTTTGTAATGCTGGGGCATGTTCCAGATCCATTGATTATGGCTGTGAAAGTGGGGTAGATGTCCCACCAGAGCCAGCAGTAAGAAAACTGCAACAACAACACAAACACAATATTTTTTATAAGTACATAAAAAGGAAAATTAAAAAAAAAAAAAAAAAAAAAAAAGGAAGAAACCAAAGGTTTTGACAAACAAAGTGCCACGAAAGATAAATATGGACCCTATTGTCATGCCTTGTACTCACAGCTGGAAGGTAGGAGTCTAAGGACAAATAGCTGGCTTGGAGGGAAGTGGTTATGAGTGATGGGCTATACTGCCTGGACATGTGCATACAAAAGGAAAAAGAAGCTGTTAAAAAAGAAAGAAAAAAAGAAAGAAAGAAAGAAAGAAAGAAAGAAAGAAAGAAAGAAAGAAAGAAAGAAAGAAAGAAAGAAAGAAAGAAAGAAAGAAAGAAAGAAAGAAAGAAAGAACAAAAAAAAACAAATAATCAAAGTGAACTGGCATAATCCTGCACTGTTACTGAAGTCAGAGGAACACCACAGGAGAAATCTGAGACTCACCTTGCTTCTTTTTGATGTTTTCAGGGCTGTGTTTTTGTTTTATTATGGTTGTTTTCCACCGTTGCTGGTTTATTTCTTCTTGCTGGTACAGAGTTTTTCAACTGTAAAAAAAATATACGTATATTTCAAGAAAAACTTGAACACCTCAGAGACACTGAGAATGATACGCTTATGGGAAATGGGAAGCACCATGAGATTGGTATCTTGATCCCTCCCGAGTTCCCATTTAGGCATTTCCTTTTTTTCTCAACTCTCTTCTCTCTCCTACCCCAGGATTTGAAAGAAGATTTTGTATTTCAATTCTTTCATCTCCTCCTCCTTTTCGTTTTACTTCTTCATTTTCTTCTTCTTTAACTTTGGTGCTTAAGATGGTTTTGGTTTTCACTTGGAAAAATGGTCCAGAATTGTGGTGTAAATGTGTGGGCTTTGTCCTCTGTCCCATTTGCTGTCCTCCTCCTTTCCATCCACTGTTCCAGCATCTACCACAGTCTACGAGAGGTCTCGGCATCTTTCTTCCCACCCTCACCTGTTTGAGCTAATTATTTTTCTAAATGCATGTGAAATACAATTAAAAACAAAGACACAAGCAGAAGAATGAGCCCTACTATGACATAGATGGGTTCTTTTCCTCTTCCTTTGCCTTGTTACCCCCCAACTCCTCACTTTACCACAAGCTTGACCAAAAGTGTGCCATGTGAGTTGTATTTCACACTGGTTTTCAAGCCTCACAGTAAGAACAGGAGACAAAACTCCCAGAAGTTGACAGGTTACTGGTATACCAGATAACTGACTGATGTTTCCATTTTTTCTCAAACACTGCAATCAACACAATGAATATTGGCACTTTCAGTACCATCAGAAATATGGAAAGAGAATGTGAGTGAAGACTCCCTGTGGTCCGTCTTGAAGAGCAGAGTTTTTTCCATTGCAGAGTTTGCTTTGAGAATTGGTGTCTAGGTTTGAGGAACCATTCTGCAACATACTGTATCCTCTTTGTGAGTGCATTCACCTATCAATGTCACAATGAGCTGAGGCACAATCCATCATGTCACGTCCTTCTGCAGCTTGAGCCATCAAACTGGAGTTGTGGGAAGAGTTATCTAGAAGAAGGTGTTAGAGATTGGTAGCTCTTGAACAAACAGCATGTGAGAACTAGGAAAAAGGAGAAATGTAGACTCTCAAGGGCATCTTCATCTCCTAACACACATCAATCCTTCTCTTCCCACACTTCACTCTGTCCTGAATATATTTGAAGATTTGGTCCATTATGGCATACACCAGCCTTGCTCCATTGGGCTTAAGCCAATTTTCAACATCTTAACCCCTGCAGTTGTCTTGCCATACCTCTCAACACTAGAGAACATAAAAAGTAGTTTCAACATGAAGAGGATTTACTAGCAGAATTCAGATTGGTATTTGTTTTAATTGAAATGTGCTTACTGAAAGTTTTAGATCTTGTGCATTACAGGGAAAAAGACAGGATAATATTATTGTTTTTATTATTTATAATTATGCTATTGAAAACTGATAGATAAAGTTATAGAAATCCACGGTCACTCCTACTGTTGAGTAAATCAACCTAAATAGTACATAGAATCATAGAATTATAGAATGGTTTGGGTTGAAAGGGACCTTTCAGATCATTTAGTTCCAACCCCCCCTGCTATAGGCAGGGACACCTCCCACTAGAGTAGGTTGCTCTCAGCCCCATTCAGCTTGGCCTTGAATGCTTCCAGGGAGGGGATATTCACAACCTCAGTGGGCAGTATTAGCTAAATGCTGGGATACCTATGGTGTAACAACCTAAGAAAAAGCAGGTAATGCCAAGAGCAAAGTTTTACTTTGTTTTAAAGTAAGCCACAACACAAAATGCAGATCTGTATTTTCACATGGAATATGAAGAGCTTTGAGAAGAAATACTTCTATGTGGAATATTCGTCCAAAGGAAGTCTAAAAACCCAAAAGGACTGAGTTCCAGGGCTTCTCTTAGTGGGACATACAGTTGTGTCTCCACCCTTGAGTCCTTTAATATACAAAAAAGAAAAACCTGGGCTGCTGGAGATGACCAGAACTCTTCTCTCACATCACCAAGGCATCAGTAATACAAGTCATGCTTCACCCTTTCCCAGTAGCCAGAAAAAGCCCATGAAGCAGATGTATCTGATAGCCTGGATAAGTAGTTTCATGCTGTAAAGGGAATGACAAAGAGGAAGAAAACTGGTTCTGCTTCTCGAACTCCTGGGGCAGGCTCTAATATGTAAGAGGTTTGTTCCATCATAGCAATGTATTGTTCTCTGGGTGAGCAGTGGCCACTGCTAATAGGGGAAGATGCCATGACCAGATAAGCACTTACCTGTAACCTCATCAATCCCTGATAGTCCTTTCTTCTCCTTGGTTTAGCATGTAGCTGAAGGAGCTGGATAGAGGGCTCTGTTTAAAAATGTGCATGTTGGCCCCACTAGGTTTCTTTAGATTTTTGGTAACTCACCAGAAAGTGCACTCAGGAGACCCAGTTTATGTATCTTCCACCCATGAATGAGGAAATCAGTACAAAAATCCAGCTCTTGAATAATTGCTCTTGTCTAAATGCCTGTAAGCCCTCCTCTCCTGGAAGAGAAGGAATCCCTGGGATGACTAGGGAGTCCAGGAATGGATTTGATTATTTTAATTATTTACACAGGAAACTGTCTTTCTTTGTTGGCACAGGCCTCACTATGACAGCGTTGGGTAAAGAGGTACTGACATAACCTTAGTGATTCCAGGGCAGTTTGGTCTGTGTTATCTGATGAGTAGTAATATATTGTCCTTTGGGGCAGAGGGAGATCTTGGACTGCCCTAGCTCTTGCCATCCAAGTTTGGTTTGCTGTGGAGCAGACAGCTGAAAGCCAAGAGATGCTCCACGTCATGGTGTGAACCTCAGCCTCCTGGCCATTCACTGCTTGAGTTTTCTTGCTTTGCATCCAGCTTTGTCTCCATTTCAGAGTATAGTTGAGTCCATAGTGTTCTGCAATTATCCCTCATGTCTGCCACTGTGCAAAATTCCTTCCCCTCTGAGAGTTGTGTTGTCCTATGGAGGATAAGTTATGCAGAGAATGCTCTGAAAACAGAGCTGGTCAATCACGATTGATTTAGGACTTCTCAGTTCTCTGCACTGTTAGAGAAGCACCCAAGGACACAGTGGCTTATGGCAATTAATTAATATGCAAAAGAATGACAAAAGAAAAAAAAAAAGGATTACACTTGGGAAGAATAAAGCCACTACAAAACAAACAAACAAACAAAAGCAACAAAGCAGAGAGGATATAAAGCTGCTCAGTCCAACCAATCTGTTACATGCATGATTTCTGTTGTCACTGTCATGGTTCATTTTTTTGTTTGTTAATCTTCTGTTCTAAAAGTGGAGAATTTACCTCAAGAATTTCTTTCTGCTTGGAACCAGATCACCTCAAAGATACCTGCAGCAAAGAGAAGCATGCAGGGAAGCTCAGCAAAGTCAGCCTGCTTATGGAAAATGGGGGGAACAGGACATTTAGGCTCTTTCAACATCCCCTTCTCTTGCTGGTGTGATTTGAAACTGAGGACAGTATTTCTGAGCAGGAGAGGATGCTGTTCACTTTCAGGTAGACTGGAACACAAGAACCAGTCAGAGAAACCAAGGCACACTGTCTGAGCTTGACATCCTTTCTTAAATATCTTAAAGAAACTTGGTGTTACTTAAAATTTCTTCACTGCTCTTTCCCCATTTCCTGGAGAAAATCCACTTTCCAGCCCAGGGTGGGGTAAGGAAGCAGAGATTAGGTGCTAGCTAAATGCTCCCAGCATTTTCCCCAAGATGAGAGGCAACTGGATTATTTAATGCCACAAGACAGGCCCTTCCTAGTGTCTGACCCTGTGTCTTGATGTACACACAAGCCCAGAAGTCTCATTCTCTGTTTTTTGCTAAAGCTTCCACCTTAAGTACAAAATCAATGTAAAGACATATCCTTTCACTACAGTGTTACTAACAGCCTCAAAGAGATGTCAAGACAGCATTAGAAAGGAGGTTGGGATCCCTTTTTTTTTAGGTTGTTGTTGTTGTTGGTTTGATTTTCTTTTGAATTGATCCTAGTTAAAAAATAAAATAAAATCTATACTATTTAAATTGGAATCCCATTGTTACTTGGTAAAGGCAAAGCTTCTGTACCTTTGTTATAATTAATTGTATACCTGTGTATGTAAATATAAGGCATTCCTATTTTGCAGTCCAGAACAAAACAAAACAAAACAAAAACAAAAAAAAAAAAAAAAAAAAAAAAAACAAAAGAAAAAAAAAAAAAGGAAAAAAAAAACTTATTTGTAATATAGAATAAAGTTTATTAAAAAAAATAAAGAAATAAAAAGTGTGCTGGGCTGTGATTGCTGCTTCCTGCGGCTGAATGGAGACAGAGGGAGGAAATTCAAGCAAAAGGATACTATGGAGACTGAAGAGGTGGCAAGTGATTAAAGCAAGTCCATTTCATATCTATTCCATAGGAGCCTTTCCCAAGTTCAGAGTTTCTCACCATTCACAATGCATGCTTCCTCAGTGCTCCAGTCATGAGTTGGTGGTATTTTGGCCTTGGCTTCATACTGTTGCCCATGGGCTGTGCTGATGAATAGTGGTGGGGGTTGAATTCCCACCTGAGCAGCCCCCAGCTACATCTCCAGAGAGAACAACGGCCCAAGAACTGGCATGCTTATGACAATAAATCACTGTGAAAAATTTTCTTCCCCCAATAGTTCCTCCTTCTGTCCCTTTCTCCTTCTCTGCCTCCCTGCCTTCCTTCTTATGAACCTCTCTTTTTCATTTGAACCTCACGTCTTCCTTTGCTTCTTTATTTTCCTCCCTCTCTCTCTCTCTCCCTGTTAATGCAAGAACTCGTGCATTGGGTTGTTTGAAAAAAAATATAGTGCAGTCCAGACAAGTTACTCCTTTCCATCTGCCTTTTGAGTGTCTTCAGGTGTGCATTTTGAAGACAGATGACAAGTTGTTGAGGTAAATGATGCCAGCAAAGGAACCAAATTCTGTGGCCTTGAAAGTCTTTGATGGGAACCAGCCTCTGACTCCTTTGCCATTACAGCAGAGTTGCATTCATCACACTGGGTTTCAGACCTGCAAGAGCTGCAGGCAATTTCAGGTTGTCAAACACCCCCAGTTCACTTGTTTCTTTTCTTCAGCATGTCATGCTGGATCTGAGGCTGCTGCTGAGACAAACTGATTGCAGCACTCATAGTTGGCCACAGAAATAGAATCATAGAATCATTAAGGCTGGAGAAAGCCACTAAGATCACCTAGTCCAACCATCGACCCATCACCACCATGCCCACTAAATAGGGTGAAATTGTAATTCCTCACTTGTTCTCTGTCTGCCCTGGCTGGAGGCAGAGGATGCATCCCTCTCCAAGGACCAATTGCCATGGGCAGATCTGCAGCCTTCTCATCACCAGGCATGACTTCAGAGGGGCCCTGCTCAGCATACTTGTTCAGAGCTTAAGATCTCCAGGCAGCAAGAAATGCAGCCTTTCTCCCCTTCTGCCTCAGACCCCTGCTATCTTCACAGAAGATACAGAGCAGTGAGGAACAAGTGATGGACACTCTTGGAAAGGCAGCTTAGCCTAAGGAAAGAAATTAAAATCTTTTTTCCCTTTCCTACAGCTATCCATAAACACCATGCTCCACTTATCTTATGGTGATGCTTTCTTTTGAATGGCTGTTGCAAAGTAGCAAATCTGTAATGAAGAAGGTTATGTCCTCTGGGACTGATGACGAACTTGGCTGCATTTGCACTGCTTTGACATGGTTTAACACATCATCATCATGTGTCCTGATAGACAGAGAAATTGACCTGAGATACCTCCATTGACAGCAAAATGGAGATGAAAGATTCATACTTGATTTTCTCTGACCATGCTCTTGAAAAGACAAAGAATTTTATGCAAAGCCAGGTCCCTTTGAAGCTGCAAGGGGGATGTAATGGTGGAAAGTTCCTAAACTGCCACTGTGTATAACACATGCACGACAGTGACGTGGTAGAGGAGCTGCCCTTCTGCTCACTCTTGATCCCATGTTCCCCAGTACACACAGTGCTGCTGTTAGCCGTGAACCTTCCCTGGCCCACAAAACAGGGATACAGCTCTTATTTTCAGTATCATCCGGGCACACAAGATCAACATTTCTGCCAACTTCCTCTACCTTCACCTGCCTTCATAGAACCATTTGAGTTGGAAGGGATCCTAAAAGTTCATCTAGTCCAACTTCCCCACAATGAACAGGGTACCTTCAGCTAGATCAGGCTGCTCAGAGCCCTATCCAGCCACACCTTGAGCATCCCCAGGGATGAGACATCCACATCTCTGGGCAACATGTTCCAGGGAATTTCTCATTGCTCCCCTTTTACTGATCACGTACCACTGTTCTATGTTGCACTCAACAGAGTAGAGAACAGGGTTGTTATTGCATGCCCAGAATTGTGGTTCCTGTTGTGTTCCAAATAGCTAAGTCTGTGCCACCCACTGAGCAATGAGACATCTGGGAGGTTTTATGAGATTTGCAAGCCACTGAGCCAATATAATGCTTGTGCAACAACCTCTCTGCTGAACTTGGGTCTGCATGTCTCAACTCAAAAGAGAGCATAGAAAACAAAGAAGCAAGAAGCAAGCTTCCAAAAGAGAAGGGAGGCAGAGTACAGCTTTTGCCATACATTTCAGACTGATACCAAGGAGCAGACCCCATGGTACCAGTAGAAGAGTAACGCATGCCAATGGACTGAACACTTATAGCCATGAAAATAACACACCTCTGTCCAGACACACCTTGGGACACAGTGGGAAAAAATGTCCTTATCACCCGAAGGGATACTGACATCAGTCTGCTAGTATGTCCAAAGAAGCTGGTCAGCCAGTCAGGGTAGCAAAGTGAGCTGTAGAAACTTTCACATGCAAAGAAGACCTTCAGATTTCAGCTGCACTGAATTATCAGTACACTTGGGAAAAAGAACAACTCTCTGACACTTTTAAAGAAAAGTAATGTCCTGCTCCCACCCCTTAAACTTTAGTTTAAGTTTTTAAAACTTAAACTGTCTCATAAAAGCTTCCTCTAGGCTAGCAGGCTGCCTGAGAGAAGTGTTAGGCTGAGTGTCTGCCAGTCTTTGTATAAACATGAGTATCCCAGTTGAAAAAACAGCTTCCACGCTGGCGAGACAGGACAGGAAAAGGAAGAGGTGGGGAGGAAACTGAGGAATGGAGAGGTGAAATAAGTTGCCCACAAGCATGCAGCAGCTCAGAGTCTCCTCAGTTTGTTTTTTTGCTGAGCAGTGGTCAAGTCAGACACCTTTTTCTGCAATTGGACACATAACAGTATTACATTCTTCTGAGAATCCAACCTGCAGGGCACAATCAGGACCTAAACTATGAACCAGTAGCTAAACCTCAAATGTGGACCACAGCTTTCTCTTGCCTTCTGTGCCAAGAGGAGGAAAAAAACCTCTACACCAGCTATTCCCACAAAAACGCCATTCCAAGCAATAAATGGTGCTGCAATTACTTAGCACAGCCAAACAGATTCCAGGCTTGTGGTAACTGCCTCTTGCCAGCTATAAGCTCAAAATGCATGCAAGAGGATTACGTGTGTGGGCTTGATGAGTGGAGAATTTATCCCCAACAAGAGTTGCAAGGAATGAGAGGGAAAACCTCTGGCATAGATGTAGTAGCAGGGCCAGACAGCCACACCTCTCAGTTTTGACTTTTCAACTCTCACGTGGGCTAAGCTGGAAGCTCAAGGACAGGAAGTTATAGAACCATAGAATCATTTGAGTTGAAAAGGAGCTTTAAGGTTCATTTGGTCCAACTCCCTTGCAATGAACAGGAACACCTGCAGCTCCATCAGGTTGCTCAGAGCCACGTACAGCCTGACCTTGAACATCTCCAGGGATGGGGCATCCACCACATCTCTGACCAACCAGATGTATACAGAGAAAGCAGGACCAACCTTGCCACCCTTCTCTTCACTAAAATGATTAGTGTTTTACTGTATAAGCCAGATTCTTCCACCCCCAAGCTACGGAAAAGAGGCATTTGAAAGCTTTCCTGCTTTTATTATTACAAGACGTAATGCCCATTTCCTGCATCAATATATATCTCCAAGCTTTTCTGCTGAGGAAATAGTGACTACTTGCCTCAGCTTCATGATATCCCCTGCATAAATGACAGCCCCCAAGTGCCCTTCAAAAACCTGTCAGGGCAGAGGCCAGGGGGAAGCCAGGAGCCAGTCTGTAACTCTGATTCCCAAAGCAATCCCAGATGTCAGCTGGGAAAGAATCTTTCCAGAAACCTGGAGAGCATTCAATTTGCCTTTATGATTTCCCAGTTTCCTTACCCACATTCTGACACTTCACAGGTTCAGCTGCCTGCATTGAATTAAGCTGTTCCCCCCACCATTCCCTCACTGTAGGATTTTCTTGTTCAGCAGCGTACAACTCAAACATCAGTTCTCTTGTCCTTGTTCAAAACATTCCAAGACTTCCTTGCTTGCGTTCAGCTTTAGGTTTGTTATTTTCCTAAGGTTGTGTGAGTGATACAAACCATAACTATTGGCTAATGACACCAAGCTGTGTGGCGTGGTCAACACACCAGAGGAATAGGATACCATCCAGAGAGAACTAAATGGGCTCTAGCAGTGGGCCCAGGTGAACCTCATGAGGTCTTCATGCCTTGAAATCACCTGAACAGCTGTAGATGTTTCATTCTGTTGAGTTGTCCTATCTCCCCATATAAAAACTGGTTAAAACAAAAACCAAAAACCCACATTGTCACATTGGTGAATGACAAATAGAAGTTCTTGTTTCCTGTTGCTGGCCCTAGGAGAATGGAGGGGAACCAGCCCAGCTGTACTGTGACTTTCTAATGCTAGGTGGGATGAAAGCCACCAGTGACCTATTTTGGCTATGATTGTTTTAGGAAAGGGAATGTCTCCTGCAAATGCATGAGAGCCTTGATCTATCTGTGCTGTGCTCTGTGTTCCCACAACTCAGACAGCATTTGGGAGGAAAGGTGGAATCATTTTGGTCTTTTACCTTCAGCTAAGACATTTAGAGAAAGAAATAGAAATGAGAGTAACCATATTAT